CGCACTGTCAGCTCAAAGGTCTTCACAACAATTACTACCCTTCTACCTGCTGAGCTGGGTGGCTAATCCCAGATCTCACAAAACCCTATGATCCTGAATAACACAAGGTTCCCAAGAACATTTCGACTTCCCTCTCCCCATCAGGAAGCCGTCAATAGCCATGACCTCCTCACCAGCACTACATCCTTAAACAGGGCAGAGCTAGGGAGACAACAATAAGCAAGATGAGCTGCTAGCTTGAAGTTGTGGCGACGGCAATTTTTTGCATCCTCTCCCACAGAGTTCTTGAATAGCAGCTTCAGGTTTACCCCACACCCCAGCTGAGATCTGCTGTCTGAACACAAGCCTTACAGCAGCAAGGCTGCTCCCTTTACCAGTTAAGTACACTCAAATTTAAGACTAATAGATACCCCCTGAAATTCAGATCATGACCCAACATTATTGGTTGCAACATCTAATGAGCCCTAAAGAACAGTTCTCTGGTGTTTGGAGTTATTCTTAAAGAAAGTGCTTCCACTGAGTATTTGACTGACTCAAGTGGCTTCCTCGGCTGGAAGAAGCCCTATAGGGAGCATTCGGAGCTGCTACTGAGCAGCAGTTACACAAGCCTGCACAGCAGCTGGACTCCCTGCAGTCCAAAGCTGATGGCCTGCCAGTCACCAAGTGGTCAGACCTTCTCACTTCCTCAGGCAGCAATAGCAAGAGATTTCCCAGAGGGTATGATGTTACTAGCCCAGGGACCAGATAAGGCACTACAGAAAGGAAGGAGCACAGGTAGAAACAGAACTAGGGCACTGCAACAGGGAAAGCATAGCCTGAAGCAACATCTTTACTCACTTGAGGCAAGTTACTCTTGCCCTAGGATTCCCCTTTTCCACCCCAGCACTTCACAGTTGAGCTGACCCCCCCTCCTTTAGCAAGCCCCCCTCCCCAGCCACACCTGCCAAGCATACAAGCCACCCAGCACTAGCTCTGCAAACCTAAGGAGAGAACAAGTTAAAAGCCACATCAGCATCACACAACATCCAAGTAGATTAGAGTCAACAAGCATGTCATGTGACACCTAGGACTTTGATTCAGGAATAAGTTTAACATGCAGTCAGCAAACTCAGGGAGAACAGCTGGCAGTTGTTGCTATGATTTCCACCCTGCTGGAAGTCTTAAGCTCGTTAAAAAGCTATTTCTACCATTACCACTACAGATTAGGTTCCGTGCTTTTCTGCAGAAGGGAGACTATCTTCAGCAGGAGCCAAGTCTGAGCCCTTGCAGGACCTGCCCACAGGTACCGCACCCTCGTGCGCAAACAAGGCTGCAGCTCAATAAGGCTGTGAGTCAGCTGAGCAGGACAACCGCCTCATTTTTGTTGCTCAGAGCAACACATTTGTTCTTCCTCCAGCTTTACCAGGTCCTTCAGAACTTTCTGCTAACAGCAACCAAGTGCAAGGGGGCTTCCTTACCACACCAGCATGTTGCTGTTTTCACTCCCTAGTTCTTAGGCAGCTGTCACAGGATCATTCCCCCCCCCTTCCCCAGCTCTCAGACTCTAAAAACAGGCAGATCAACAGCCACGTCTTTAGATTTCTTTAAGCATCTAAATATCTGGAAACTTGTAGCCTTTCAGCTGAGTTACTGATGCATTAGAGGTAATTAACAGATTTCTCTTCAAGCTTGTCAGCCATTCATACTGCTGTAATAGCTGTGCATAAATACAAGACATACCACTATAAATACATAGACAAATTGGAAGGCAACATGACTTGAGCCTTTTCCTCCAGGGAATACCCCATCTCCCAAGAGCCGAGGAGTAGCTGGCAAGGCCTGGTGCTGTCACCCAGCCAGGGACAGCTTCGACAACAAGCATTAGCAAAAGAGCTGGACTCAGATAGCCTTTACCCTCAGCCAGAGAATAATATACGAATATTCTTGCCTCACACTGGCTAAGGCATTTTTAGCCAAGGCATTTCTGTCCTTTGGCTCTTGCAAAGCTTTCTCAGCAGGCTGAGCAGACTCCTATGGTACCTGGAGAGGAGAACTACCTCTACCTTTAGGCTTCACTGCCTCTCAGCTTTGCCTGTCTTACCACTGACAGCATTAATACTAGATCCAAGAATCTAAATCATCACTGAAAAGAGGCTGTAACATACGACTGACATAGATGAACAGCAATTACGTAGGCTTCCAGTAATGCTACTGCTCACCCTCTAGCAATGCTCCAAAGAAAGAGGACGAGTTCCAAATAAGTTCTCACAAGTATATTAACGCCTGTCCTTTTCACTTCGAAGTTTGGAGTGCTTTGAACCTCTGGAGCAGATCATAGGTACAACTGCATGGTACAATCCACTCCATGTCTCAGCAGGCCATACTTTTCTATAGAGGCAAGCTGGCTAGAAGCCAAACAGGTTGCTCTTCTAAAGATGTAGTTATTTAAGCAACTTGGCCACCTGCAGCAGCCTCACAGCCAGAGTACATACCAGTGTATCCATTTATAGCTCCTTTATAGCTGCAAAATATCCTTCCACCAAGTGAAGCTATTACTCCACACCTGCAAGCAAGTCTCAGGGAGTGAATATCACTTGAGACTCAAAGAATTAGGAGACAACACAAAAAGGAGAGACTACCTGGGCTGAAGACAAACTCTTCATCAGGACTAATCACTGTAATAGCTAGCTTAACTTCTATTCATTGTTTTAGAAAGTCACCCAATATCAGCTGGGTGTAGGTTTACAGTTTGGCTTTTGCAGCCACAGCCACCAAGCCATGTGACACTCGTTCCAGTTATGAGCAGCACAGAACATGTCATTTCCACAGCGGAAGTCACCCACATCACACGATATCTTATCTGGAGAGCTGACAGGACTCAGTCAAGAAGGGACGGGGAAGGGAACAGGCAACAGATGGATAATATGGACTTCCTGGAGTCCCAGCCGAGAATTTGACTTCTGCAAGGTGACAACACAAAAGAAGTCAGAGTTCCAGTATTAAGAGGCAGAACTGAGGCTGAGATTCGCCCCGCTTTGAGCCTTCAGCGCAATCTCCCTTCTAGCTGTTGTACTACATTTTTAAAGACTGATAAAGAACCAGCTTTTCCTCATTTGCTGGGCATCTCAGAAGAGAATCTTAGCAGAATGGACTTCCCCAAACTATCCACCAAGGCACTCTGGCAAAAAACCTAACACATCAGGTTGTCAGCACATCAGCACAGCCATGGAAAGCTTAGTGGCACTGACTTACACACCTGCCCTCTCAGGAGGCCTTCACCATTGCTGCCTTTGGTTCAACTGAAGCACTAGCAGTGCTTATGCAAACAGTGCCAGAACTGCCCTTTGGACTTTGCTCAGGGTAAAGCGTAATAGATGGACATTCACTCTATTAAAACTGTGCTTATCCCCTGCTTTTATAGGAAGGGAACAGGCTCTGCCAGGTTCCATCACAACAGCTGCAGGCCCCAGTAAGGATTAATACAGGCCTGCAGGGGGAACTTACTTAGCTAGAGGGCTAAACCTTAGCTCACCACACAATGATTCAAGAGAGGTAAAATACCCTTCTAAAGTATGAAACGACCACTGTAGTCTATCACTAGCTCCCAGATAGCCAGAATATGGGCAGTATCGGGATGCACATTAGTCATGCCTTCATGGCGATGCACAATTGCCAGCTCAGAAGTAGCACAGCACCCAAATACTGACTGCACAATAAGCAGCAGAGAGCCCCACAGCCCTTCTAATTATCTACAACTCAAATACCCTGAAGCTACCCGAGGTCAGCAAGAGCTCTAGAAGACAGAGCCACTTCACTGTTCTGAACGATCAGGATGCTTCCTGGGACACAGGACTGATAGTTCAGCTTTAAGCAATTCCCAAGTTAAGAAAGAAACATCATCTGTTAAAAATGTGAGCAATAGGGTCTGCTGAAGCTCAGGAATGCTGCTGCTGAGATCCATGCATTCTTTGAGTTACTTTTTTTAGTCCTTAAACTAGTCCTCCCAGAACCCTGGAAGAGGAGGGGGAAGGAGACCAGCTCAACTATCCAGGACAGTTGAGTTCCCAAAGGATTGCTTCTAAAGCTATAAAGCACAGGCAGCAGCTAGAGTACAGCAGAGAGGATCAATACACTAGTGCTTTTTTCATCTGCAGGCCTGACCACCAGACCCAAGACCTGAATTCCAGCACCAAAGGAGATGGGTTTAATTTATGCTTCCTTTTTGTTGGAAGAAACTCTCAAAAGAGAGACCTAAAGCGCCTGCACACCGCGTTAAGGCGGGCAGCGCAAGAAACTAAAGTTGAAGTTCTGGAACAGAGAAGTATCAATTGGAATTGAAGATTAAAAAAGCTCAACTAATGCAAAACAGATGAGACTCCCAGCTTCAAGAGGAAGCATTAACTGTTGCTTTCCATTTTGTCTCTTCAGACACCCAGCTGCATTTCCACAAAGCAGTGGCTACAGCTTCCTTCACCGATCCCTCTGAAGCTCAGACGGCTACCTTTTAATTATGTATGAAGAGCCCTTGACCCTGCCTGCAAGGGCTCCCACACACCCATCCCCAAACTCTGGCACAAGTGATGACAACAAAAAAAGTTGCACAGATTGAGGGTGCCACTTCCAGACCAGCACCGCTGACCTTCAGCCATGGCTCGAGCTGGGCTGGAGGAAAGCCAGGTCTCAGCCCCACAGGGCCACCCCAAAGAGCACGATGGGGCTCTGGCCTCCAGGATGGCCCAACCAGGCCTGACCCACAGCCAGGGAAGGTGAGCAGGTCCGTGGGCCGTAGCAGGAGGAGACAGCAGGGCCCCCAGGGCTCAGCCCTTACATATGGGGGAGGACCCCAGGGCCCTCAGAAGGGGGGTGGACAGCAGGGGGGGCACTGTGGGGCTGTAAAGCCCACTCCACCCCAAGGGGCAGC